GAAGTTCATGTTGGTGCTCCAGCTGTGATTGAATGTTTAGGGTTAGGTTATTTATGCAATAATTATGATTTTTTTTTCCCCCATTGAAAATAATATAAAAAATATATATTTCTAATATTTTTATATTACTTTTAAATTATGGCAGTATTTCATGTTAAAATGGAGACAATGCCTTTAAAATAAAATTTTTGAAGGCAGATTAGTTTCATCTGGTGGGAGTGAAACAAAGCATCTGAAATTCTGTGGTTTAGCCACTAGATTCCTATAGAGCTCTTTAGAAAAGGTTTATAAAATCTCTAGTTGTTTTTAGACATAAATCCTTTTTTTTTTGAAGTTGTGGATTTGGATTTATATTTAGACTTCTCAAAGACAACTTTTTGTAAAGGTTTAGCTTTTTTTGTTTGAAATGTTGATTTGAAGTGTCAGTTTTTGCATTAATTTTACTACAGTCAAACCTGAACCCAAAGAAAGACATTTTATTACGCATAACATCAGAGTTCAACAAAAATGAACAGGAATGCTTTATAAGAGGTTAATCAATCTGATTTCAATCTCTTATTTGAGTCTTCTTCTTGTTACAGCCACACCAGTTCATTTGTGTGTCTATAATAGTGTGTGTGTGTGTGTGTGTGTGTGTTTTATATTTAGACATTCTCAAAGACAACTTTTTGTAAAGGTTTAGCTTTTTTTGTTTGAAATGTTGATTTGAAGTGTCAGTTTTTGCATTAATTTTACTACAGTCAAACCTGAACCCAAAGAAAGACATTTTATTACACATAACATCAGAGTTCAACAAAAATGAACAGGAATGCTTTATTAGAGGTTAATCAATCTGATTTCAATCTCTTATTTGAGTCTTCTTCTTGTTACAGCCACACCAGTTAATTTGTGTGTATATAATAGTGTGTGTGTGTGTGTGTGTGCGCGCGTTTTTGTAACAAATGAGGACATAAATTTGTATAATGACAAAGGTATGATAGGTATTACAAGGAGAAGGTGACTTTTCAGGACATTACCCCATGTCCCCACTTTTCAAAACGCTTATAAATCACACAGAATGGAGTGTATTGAAAATCTGAAATAGCAGAAAGTCTCCTGTGAGGGGTAGGTTTAGGGGTAGGGTTGGTGTAGGGCAATAGAATATACGGTCTGTACAGTATAAAAACCATTACGCCTATGGGATGTCCCCACTTTTCAAAAAAGTGTGTGTGTGTGAGTGAGTGTGAGTGTGAGTGTGAGTGAGTGTGAGTGTGAGTGTGAGTGAGTGTGTGAGTGAGTGAGTGAGTGAGTGAGTGTGTGTGTGAGTGAGTGAGTTTGTAAGTGAGTGTGTGCGAGTGTGTGTGTGTGTGTGTGTGTGTGTGTGAGTGCGAGTGCGAGAGTAAGTGTGTGCGAGTGTGTGTGTGTGTGTGAGTGCGAGTGTGCGCGAGTGTGCGAGAGAGTGTGTGCGTGTTTTTGTGACAAATGAGGACATAAATGTGTATAATGACAAAGGTATGACAGGTATTACAAGGAGAAGGTGACTTTTCAGGACATTACCCCACGTCCCCACTTTTCAAAACGCTTATAAATCACACAGAATGGAGTGTATTGAAAATCTGAAATAGCACAAAGTCTCCTGTGAGGGGTAGGTTTAGGGGTAGGGTTGGTGTAGGGCAATAGAATATACGGTCTGTACAGTATAAAAACCATTACGCATATGGAATGAACCCAATTTTCACAAAAACAAGCCTGTGTGTGTGTGTTTTGCACTCTTGATATTTTAGAGTGTCACCCCTTCATTGCTCTGCACTTTTTTTTTTTGCATCGTGAATGATTTGTAGATTGTACACACAAAGAATTCTCTGTATTTTTGACTGTGAGCAACACAAGTGTGACTATTTTTTCTAATGACCATTTAGCGTTTTCGAAGTCCATGATTTGTATTATTATTATTGTTTGTGGTCACATAGCTCGTTTCGTACCATTCCGATGAAGTAGCGATTATTAAAATTTCACCAAAAAAAAAAAAAAAAGAATTCCGGTCTAAAATGACCGAACAACAGCAGAGGGTTAAAGTCACTTGAGTTCATGCCAGTAGTCGTTTTTCGCTGTACATGCACAGCTGCACGCTTCTGATGTTACTCCCACACAGACCAAACAAACCCTGCGCAGGAGGCACTCATCAGTGTGTGCGGGGAAAGACGAGGCGTAAGATTTCCTCAATCAGACGAGTGAATGGACAGTGTTTCAACTGCAGTCTATTTTTATTCACGTGTGTGTGTGTTTTGCACTCTTGATATTTTAGAGTGTCACCCCTTCATTGCTCTGCACTTTTTTTTTTTGCATCGTGAATGATTTGTAGATTGTACACACAAAGAATTCTCTGTATTTTTGACTGTGAGCAACACAAGTGTGACTATTTTTTCTAATGACCATTTAGCGTTTTCGAAGTCCATGATTTGTATTATTATTATTGTTTGTGGTCACATAGCTCGTTTCGTACCATTCCGATGAAGTAGCGATTATTAAAATTTCACCAAAAAAAAAAAAAAAAGAATTCCGGTCTAAAATGACCGAACAACAGCAGAGGGTTGGTTAGTCACTTGAGTTCATGCCAGTAGTCGTTTTTCGCTGTACATGCACAGCTGCACGCTTCTGATGTTACTCCCACACAGACCAAACAAACCCTGCGCAGGAGGCACTCATCAGTGTGTGCGGGGAAAGACGAGGCGTAAGATTTCCTCAATCAGACGAGTGAATGGACAGTGTTTCAACTGCAGTCTATTTTTATTCACCAAGAATGTGCCCATGCTCGAACGATATAGAGATTTGAAGTTCATGCACAGGTCATGCATTAACATTCTTTTCCATCTTGTAATCATGATTAAAGTAGTTTTTTCAATCAAAAAGAGAAAAAAATAACTAATGCATGGCTAATATTAAACTTAAAGATAAACTATATTCCTGTCACATTTAACCTACATTTATTGATTTATTTTTTCTATATATAATATGGCCTGATTAATAAATGACCTGATATGTGACCTCTAAGTAACCTTTGTGCTCCTAGCCAGTTACAAAAATAAAAGTTCTTGCAAAATCCCGTTGTTTTGGTTGCACTTTTGCTCTGCTTCTCTGTGCTGATGAATGTGTGTGGCACAAGACATTTGATCAGAGCAGATGGACAAATGTTTGTTTGTTTTTTAAACTGGTGATTCGCTGGAGGTTTGCACTTCTGAATTACGGATGGTGAATGTTCCTGGTTCGCTTTGACAACAAATGGGAATGATGTGTGTATGCAGTTTCCTGTGAAATCCATTGCCTTATTGCCAGATAAAAGCCTCTTGTTATTAGAGTGGTTTTTCATTTTCATTCTATCCAGACCGTAGGCATTTTGAAACTATATATTTTTGATGCCATTTCAGAGAAAGGACATCATAAAAGGCAAATGTGTTCAAAGTTGTTTATATGTTATTAGATGTAGACGGGTTGTTCTAGGATATGTGTTTTAGGCTGGTAGTTTGCTGCAGTGTTTGCTTCCCCTCGCAGTTCAGAGTCCTCCTTCCGAGTTTCCGAGTTGCTTCACCACATCCTTCTGTCTCTGTCCCGGATTCAGTCTCTCTCTGACTCATGCACACACAATCACACACATTTTGCTGCCAACAAATTAGTCAGATCCTCTAAAGGCAAACATTGGTGATAACATATTGTCTGTAGTTCAGTTTTCTTTCTTTATCACATGGATTTTTCTGGTTGCTGTCTTGATTCAGTAGGTTGGCTGTAGATTCATTGTCCTCTGCAGAATTTGAACACACAATGTAACTCTTGACGAAGTCTGGCATTAATTAGAGACAATAGTCATCTGTTGCTTGTGCGTAGAATGTCTTCCAGTTTCAGTTTGAACTTGTGACAGGTTATTCATGCCTCGTGACAACCTTATCTGTGAACCCAGAGACGTAGCAGTCTGATATCGGTTTCGGTTTTGTTTTTTTTAAGAATAGATGCAATCATTTTAAGTTCATAATGCATTGCTCTTCTTCTGGCCAGTCATATCCTACTTCCGAGTTTCCGAGTTGCTTCACCACATCCTTCTGTCTCTGTCCCGGATTCAGTCTCTCTCTGACTCATGCACACACAATCACACACATTTTGCTGCCAACAAATTAGTCAGATCCTCTAAAGGCAAACATTGGTGATAACATATTGTCTGTAGTTCAGTTTTCTTTCTTTATCACATGGATTTTTCTGGTTGCTGTCTTGATTCAGTAGGTTGGCTGTAGATTCATTGTCCTCTGCAGAATTTGAACACACAATGTAACTCTTGACGAAGTCTGGCATTAATTAGAGACAATAGTCATCTGTTGCTTGTGCGTAGAATGTCTTCCAGTTTCAGTTTGAACTTGTGACAGGTTATTCATGACTCGTGACAACCTTATCTGTGAACCCAGAGACGTAGCAGTCTGATATCGGTTTCGGTTTTGTTTTTTTTAAGAATAGATGCAATCATTTTAAGTTCATAATGCATTGCTCTTCTTCTGGCCAGTCATATCCTAAAAGTTTATGACTTCTTGCTGGTCCATGCTTTCAATGTGCCACTATTTGTATTTTTTCCTACATATTTTTTAAACCTGCATATACCAAACATAGCTACATTATTATTATTATTATTATTGTTTATTCCAGGTGTGTGTGGACAATGTTCTGAAAACCATGAAAGAGAACGCAAATAAAGCGAGCAGCATCCTACTCACAGCAATCCCGCAGATCTGTCAGATGGACTGGGAGAGCACAATAAATGCACATAAAGTGAGTTTAAAGCTCAGATTTGTTTGAATGTATGTTTTTATATAATATAACATGATATTTGTTTTTCAGCTGATGTCACAGTCTTCAGTAATGTTGCCCAAACATTAAAGCACCGGGACACTGAGAAGCCATCAAGATGCTGTCATGTATCTGCAAACATGTCACAGTCCTTCCATAATAGTGTTTAAAAATACAATTAGTATTATGCATGGAAGCATTGCAGAGGACAGGATCTTTTGATTATCACATTGTTTTTCAGTGCCTTTTAATACTAGCAGTAGTGTTGTTACTCCATGAAGTACCTTGGTTATAAATCAAAATACAAGTATTTTTGGTTGGATATAAAACTAAATACGTCTCTCTTAAAAACAAATAAATGTATGCTGTTTTGTCTATGCAGATTGTGTGGGTTATTATTCATGGTGTCACACCCCTGGTCCATTTTGAGTCAGCAGCACGTTTACTCTTCCAGAACAGATACATATTTGTTACAAAATCTGCTAAACTTTGGTTGCTTGTCAGAAGAAAAGAAAAAAACTCCTGCATTTTTCTGTTCAGTGTTTTTTTGCCTCGAGCAATCTGAACAGATCTCTGTGTATCATGTTGCTTTTATAATATTTCTGCTTTCAAAAGAGAGAGAGTCTGACTGATTTCGGATCCAATTCTGTTCCTTTCTGCGTGTTTCCAGCTTTACTGTTCCAGCTCCTGAGTCATGTGTAGCAGTCCATCTCTTTAAAGACAAACTCTCAAATTAACAGGCTCTCTTTACATTTGTCTTTTGCACTCTATCGAGCTTTACAATATTACATATTTAATTTTATTTATTTAGCTGAACTCTTTTATAGTACCTGCATCTGTATTTTTTTGCAGCAGCAGCAGGAGGTAAAATTGTGTAATCAATAAGATTTGCGTAAAAATGACATCAATAATAACAACAAACTGTACTTTCCGCACAAGATGAATATATCTTTGCACTCAGTTGCGCGGCGATGCTCGACAGAACCCAGTTTATGCGTTATGAAGAACAAAACGTTTTTTTAAGTGTGTGTGGTGGCATATAGAGAGTTGCATTTATCATAAAACATCATAATCTTAACGAAAATATCTTATTTACAACACAAAAAAAGAGAGAGAACTGAGAAATATTAGTATTTTATGTAAAGCAGATGCTGCGTTGAGCGCAAACTTCGTTCTCTTTTCTCGATCTGACTCTAGTTAGTCACATCATTCACCATTCAAGTTCATATCAAATCTTTTTAGATGATCAAATCTATTAGCCATATAGACTAACGCCGTGTCTAGATAGGCTGACATTCTCATTCATTCTACAGACTTCAAAGTTGAGGTTTCTTTGCATGATACATTGTTGCCGCATGTATTAAAAACGAACAATAGTGAACCAGAAACTCACAAAGGAAACTAAAGATCCTTCAAATGTTTAATGCTCCCAATAGCATATAAATCCACAAACAATATTGTAAAGTGATTACAAATATATCAAGTGCATTAACTAAAAACCTTTCATATTATGTGATAAATACGTAACAAAACAAAATAAACCCTTTAGCGTTTAAATACTTCTGAGCAGTTCAGCCACGTCCACATGGCCAGTCTGCAGCGCCACGTCCTCGGCTCGTAACTGGCTGTGATCTGCGGCGCTGGGGTCGGCTTTAAAGCGGATTAAAAGCCGCACTGTGTCCGTGAACCCGGTTCTGGCTGCATCGTGTAAAGGAGTGCTTCCAGTCCCGGGATCCGCCACATTAGGATCTGCTCCATGTTCCAGCAGCAGGCGAGCCACAGGTGTGTTACCCATCATCATCACCTGCGGGGGAGAATGTTTTGAAGCGCTCTTTATATACAGTATACTATATATATATATATGTGTGTGTGTGTGTGTGTGTGTGTGTGATCAAGGCCTTGATAATAGCTTGGCAATCACTGAGGAAGAGATTTTTTTCCGTTCGGTAAGAACATTGTAGTGCATATTGTAGGCTTTACAAACTAAATTATTTAAATACTATAACTGCTCATGTTGTAACATTTGTCTTGTGGGTTTATTATGACTTGATCCTGCCTTTAGTTGCGTGCGTATCCATGAGTCTGCACGTGCGCTTTGTGATAATCATGAGCATATTTCGTTAAAAGTTTAACATATTTCACTTATCAGCCTGAAACTAGGTCTAAACTCATCTACAGTTTTCGTTTGGACGCCCAAATATTACTCAAACAGATAGCATTGCTGAAACTGCCTCCTTCACAAAACTCTACAGTGCTTAACTCATCTATTACACCTCGTGTCACAAACGTGTTTAAAACTAAAAATGCTATTGTCATTTATTAGGCAAATAGCCTTTATTCACACATAATAACCAAAAAACTGCATATTTTGCATGGCCTCCTTTGGCCTTGCATTCTTGCTGGCATTGTTTTTATGCACTTTTCCACAGTTTCTGTTGTTATTGACTTCCAAATAGTTTCTAGTTGTTCCCAAATATTAGCTTTTTGTTCAACTTTTGTGCAATCTATCTTTGAATCTAATGCTGAAATTATATTTCTGCATTAGAAACACGATTGTGACTAAAGAGCTTAAACAGAAACATAAAAAAAGTATTTTTGTAATCATGCTGCTATCGTTCATACACTCTAAAATATAAAGGTGCTTCAAAAGCTTCTTCACAGCGATGCCACAGAAGAAGCATTCAGTCAAAGGTTCTTTAAAGAACATCTCTTTCTTAGCTTTTTATAATCTGAAGAACCTTCTTTCGCCACGAAGAAGCTTTTGTGAAACAGATGTTAAAAGTTCTTTATGGAATCGTTTAGACAAAAAGGTTCTTCTATGGCACTGCTGTGAAGCAGCTTTATTTTTAAGAGTGTAGGGCAGCTGTGGCACAAACCTTACATTGGGTGCTGCTCTAATAAATGTGTTAAGCACTGTTAATGTAATTGCAAACAAGACCATGCATGCACTCGTTGTCGCATTTCTGAAAACACCCTTTTTACAACTTTCTTTGAAGGAAGCAAAACATTTGAAAATGATTTAGTAAATTAAATATAAGTGAATGACAAATGAGCTGAGCTCTAAAAAGACTATCTGCACTTTCTGTGCTGGATTATTATTCTACCTGTAACAGCTGGCTTCTCGAAAGAACTGATCAGAGAAAACACTGGATTTTTCTACTTGAGCTCACCCTCTGTTATCAGAGAAGTTTATTATATGAAATGTTGTTATCATAAGTATCACATGAAGCACATTTAATGAATTGTTTTGTGTTTTTTTTGCGACTTTGAAAAACTCTTTTAAAGTACAATTAATAGAATGGGATACATTTTTTTATTTTGAAGCACATGATTTTACATCGTCTTTTGTGAGTGACAATGTTGCTCAAAAAGTCGCACCTATATCTTAAATTTAAGACACATAAAACAGCAAAGATGTGATACTTTTTATTCTACGAGGATACACATGTCTGGCCATTTTCTAGAAATGTTTCAGGCGTAGACACTTCCAAATAGCTACACCTATAAGTATATATTATACACGTTTTTAAAAATATGAATCATATTCTAATACATTGTGCGAATTAATAAAACTAAAATAGATTTTTCAGCAACGTAATTCAAAGTTATTAGAATTACACGTATAATATAAACGTGCATTATAGTCTAAATATGGCGAAAATGTTTGCAATTAGTGTAAATATTCAATTGAAGTACATTTTAAAAACAGAGCGTAAGAAAGAATTAAGCAAAATCCTAAAGTTGGCCTGTTTTATAACATGCAATAATTTGCCCTTTTGGACAATATTTTCTTAAGTGCCTTAGTATTTTTATGCATGCATCTTCTTCTTTCTTCTTTCTTCTTTAGACATGTCTGAAAAGCTACCTGTATGGCTGTTCTTCCGAATCTGTTCACGCCGTTCACATTCACTCCGTTCGAGAGTAAACCCCGAACACGCTCCGTGTCTCCAGCCGCGGCTGCTTTGCTCAGTTCCTCCTCTGCGTGCATCATCATCATCTTCATCTTCATCTTCATCATCAGTCCTCTGAAGAATTGCGCGTTGACAGCTCAAAGCAATGAGGATGATAGTCTGCTGAGAATATATTCACACTTCACATTGTATTTGAATTGTCCTCAGAGCTGCGTGAACGCGTTAAATCGGCTTCTTTATGAAGGTGCTGTGTGTAATATTGACCACAGGCTGGGAGATATATGTTCGGACTTGCCTCCTCTGCTCTGTTATGAGCGTCACTGCAAGCGTGCTGCAGTCGAGCGTGTTCTGCGCATGCGCACTCAAGCAGCTGACACAGGAAGACAGTGACACAGTGAAGCAGCAAGCAGAAATTCTGGTCATGTTCTTTCTAAAACGGCTTTTAAAGATATTAAAGGAACTATCACGAGAACGAACGAGTTTTCTTTGTCGGTGTCCACAACTTCAAAGTGCTGAAACATTCAAGCAAATGCTTGCATTTTGTAAGTTAAGGCTCCTACCCAGGCAAAATCAGCATTTTTCAGAGCATGCATTTCTGAAAGAGATGTTATGCATAGCTAATCATGTTGACTCGATCAGCATAAGTTCCTCATAAGTTAGCTATAGATTTAGAAATGGAGTAGCCTATCTTTCCATAGGTAAGGGACGCCTTATGAGTCACATCAGTCATAATAAAGTCTACATTATGGCATGCATTAAAGGCATAAATAGGACAGGCATATGAGTACATATGTAAGTATATATGCCCATATTTTAATTGAAAATATGCCATAAAAGCAACTATGCGAATTCAAATTGAATGATTTCACTCAGTTATGTTTTAATGAGTCGTGAAGATGTCAGAAATGTATGAAACCTAAAAGCTTTGATTTTCAACATAATACAGAATGTCACAGATCACTATTTTCCAAAGGCACCAAATTAGATCATTTGACCTCAAAACCATTTTGATGAATGAACACAAATGTCGATATTCTTTATAGCATGTATTAAAAGTGCGCTCAGTCGTTTTGTCCTCATTAAAAACATGAAGAAATGTGGACAGAAAAATATTTCTGCTGTATGTAGTGGGTGTCAGTTTTAGATTGAACATTTTCAATGACATTCTAAAAGTTATTATAAGTTCAAGTAAAATAAAAAGGTGCAAAATGTTTCCAATTAGTCTCACTACTCTAAGAATAACACGCATAAGTAAATAAAAAATCAATAGAAATGAAATCCTGTATTAAACCGAGTCTTTGTATTTTTAATGTATGCATTTGTTTACTTGTTTATTAGTTCTTTAGACATGTCTGAAAACCTACCTGTATAAGTGTTCTTCTGAATTAGTTTGCTGTTGACGTGCACACCGGTAGATAAAAACTGAACTTGTTCAGTGGCAGTTTTAGACTGAACATCATAGCTTGG